AACTGGACATAGGAACGTGGGAAACTTATGACCACTGCCTGTATCTGAGGCATCTTGTGTGGTTTCGCCTGACTCACACATACATTAGTTTCTATGAGGTTATAGCCCCGATAAGAGTCTTAGGTCTATTTTTGTTTGTGTACAATATCTATTTATTCCCACTACAAATATTGAACTTTTTTCACTTGAGCAGTAAAGAGCAAAAGGTAGATTGTCGGTGGCTACCCAACCATATTTATATGAATAGAATTTGTTTTTCCTCTGAAACAAAGTCAGGGTGGGGGTAGTACCAAAAAACCTTAAGCCAAACTGTCACTATCTGGACATATAGTTTTTATTATGTGATTTCTCTCTTCAAATGCGTTTTTATATAAGCAGTCATTTAAATCCACCTTTGATGAACAGACATGTTATTTACAGCATTATTCCTTTTTAAAATTCCTCTGGTTGTCTAGAACCTTATTTTCCATATTCCTGTGTCTTCCTTTACTGCATACTCAGTTCTCATAAAAATTTTCACTCTAGACTACTCAGTTATATTATTTATGACAGTGGCTTTTCCTAATTTATTTCTGGAGTGATGGACTATTACCTGTACAAACCAGACGGTATTTAAAGGCTTGTTGTACATAGTTTAGTTAAGTAGATGTGATTTTATTTTTGTATGCCTATTAGAAAATATCCAGTTAGAGATTCATATTTCCTCTGTGGTTTTTACCAAACTAAGTTAGTTTCATACAACTGTAAGTAGCTGTACCACCTGAGGCTAGGTCTGGACTTGTCATCAACTGTAGGAGGATAGTGGAAGAAATATCTCTTCATTCATCCGCCGACAACTTTGTAAGCTCTCCTTCACCTTTGGGATAAAGAAATCATCCAAAAGTCTCCACAATGTCAACTGCTTCAGACTGTGATCAACCTCCAGGTATTTTTTTAAAATCTAAATGTCCTGTGCCATTTCAACGGAAATAGAAGTTTTGTTGTTTTTGTTCGTCAGAAGTGCTGGTTATGATTATACTAGGGGCATTGTATTTTTAATATTTCCCACATATACCTGAAAGAGTGCTTTTAAATATATTTAAAAGAAATAATTATCTATTTCCTGGCTTGATCCAAAGTGTAATCAACCAGTTTAAATACTTTTAGGAAAGCTGGATGGGCTGTCGAGTGGAAATGTGTTTTGAGTATCTTTGATTTTACTACTACTATATTTGTATTTCTAGTGATCTTTGAAAATGGTAATGAATCTCTTAAGTTCTAATCTCACTTGCTTTACAAGGTTATAAAGTAATTATATATTTTCTATGCTAAAAGAAAACACAGAGCAGACAGAGACAATCCCTATTGTGGATGTGGAACGGCCTCTTGCCCTTCCTCCTCCTCCACCTGAGGATGAATGGCGCCCGATTCCTGAGCACACCAATGTGGATGGTAAAGTAGATATACCAGATTTTATTCATTTACGGTCTCTTTTTGTTATCTTTAGATACATCTTCCATTTTATGTTTCTCTACTTGTTACTATTTGGAAATTTTAAAATTTAGAGAAAATACAAAGATTAAAACATTTTCAAAACATATATAGAGGGCTTCCCTGGTAGCGCAGTGGTTGAGAGTCCACCTGCCGATGCAGGGGACGCGGGTTCGCGCCCCGGTCCGGGAAGATCCCACGTGCCGCGGAGCGGCTGGGCCCGTGAGCCATGGCAGCTGAGCCTGCGCGTCTGGAGCCTGTGCTCCGCAACGGGAGAGACCGCAACAGTGAGAGGCCCGCGTACCACAAACAACAACAACAACAACAACAACAAAACATATATAGAAGTAAAACGAAAGTGTATTTTCTGACAGGTTTGAAATTTTCATATATTAAAGAGCATAGTTAAAGATGAAAGAAGCCATTGGTCCAAATTTAGATTTGTTTTCTCACATGAAACTGAGGGACTTAAGCTTGTTCAAGGTTTAAAACTCAGAAAATTTGTAAAAAAGACAAAGAAAGGTAGAACCCTATTACATGATGCCTCCTTTTGATCATAATTAAACTTAACATGTTTTAATAGAACAGGGTTTTCCAAGCTCGGCACTAATGACATTTGGGGCTAGGTAACTCTTTGCTGTGGGACACTGTTTAGTGATTGTAGGATGTTTAGCACCATTCTTGGCATCCATGCACTAGATGTCAGTACCACCTGCCCGTCAGTTATGATGCCAAGAATTTCTCCAGATATTTATTAATGTCCCCTGGGGAACAAACTTTCCTCTGGTTGATAACCACCAAGTTATATGATTCAGAAAATTAAAGAAACGGTTTGGGTATTAGTCATGAATATAACCATTCTCTTGACAGCAATTTTTTACCTTGTTTCAGAAATACAATTCTTCCAATATATAAAGAAATATCTTTTTTACACTTAAGTTTATATTTATACATTTATTTTGAAATATCTTTTTTACACTGGAGAAATATCTTTTTTACACTGGAGTTTATACATTTATTTTGGAGGGAAATAAACTTACCAATAAAAGACTATTAACAATGATCTCTGAAAGTTTAGTTTCTAGAATGTGGGGATGTAGCATATTATTTTTGTGAAATTGAATAAATTATAGATGTTGTTTGACCTAAAACCAAATATCATCCTTTTAAAACATTCACTAAGATTTATTCTGTAATTCTTTATGAAGGGAACGTACTACTAGTCATGAAGTTCAAAGAGTTCTGTCTTAATAATAACACAGATTTAAAATTGTTAAGCATTTCTCCATCTGATCATATTAATGAGGATAACGTAATCTGAACTGAAATTCTGTGTCTGGTTTAAGGATATTTAATAATGCCTGTATGTAGAATTTTCACCTGTGCTGGAAGTCCCCAAAGACACACTCAGGTTTAACGTTTCACTAGGAGAACTCGCAGGACTCCATACAGTTGTACTCCTAGCTGAGATTTACGACAATGAATGGCTGACAAGCATCATCAGCAAATGGAAAAGGCACATGGAGTGAAGTGTTGGGGAGACCAAGCTCAGGCTTGCAAGGGTGCTCTCCCAGTAGAGTCACACAGGTCCCACGAATTCCCCAGCAACAAGTTGGGACTATGTGTCACATGTTGCCAACCAGGGAAACTCATTAGAGAATCAATGTTCAGGGTATTTACTGGGGGTTAATCACGTAGGCAGCTTCCAGCTGGCATGTAACAAAATTACAGACTTCCTGAAGGAAAGCAACGGTTCAGCACAAGCTATAGTGTTTGCACAAACAGTGGAGACATGGTAAGCCGTGCCTATCAATTAATGGTTGTGGAAACCCTACTGAAGTAGGTTTCCAGATGCCAGCCAAGGCCAGCCTTGTAAGCGGGCCTTTCAGGATAACAAGTCAGGTCTGCTACTTTAATTCTTTTCTGCACATCCTCCAAAATAGTTTTTTCCCCCTGTCATTCAGCCTAATAGTTCATAGTAATTCACACATTGGGCATTATTTTTCAGAAAATGTGGGCATTTTAACCATAATAAAAGGAAAATAATGATATTAGTCTTTCAAATAGCAGGAGTTTACATTATCTCTGATTTTCACTCACTCTGTTTCTTAGCCTCTCGTTTTTCCTTCTCTCTATGTGGAATAACCCCTGTGATCCTGGGAGTGTTCAGCCTGCTGCTTTTGATGTTGTGTGGATTCTTTGGTTTTCAGTGTAAGTCTGACCTATTGGGAGAAAAGAAATAATAGACTATTTGTCAGATGATCATATTTCATTAAGCCATTCCCAGAGAATAGTTTTTGGTAAATGTTTTATTGCCATACTGAATGGAGAACAGGAAAAAATGACATGAAAGTATCACAACTTTTTACTATATGAATGAATTTAACCTTGTGAGTTCTCAGTAACCACATTTTTTTTTCCAGGGAAGCTATATTGTTGAAATCACTGCAGAATTTACTGAGTGTAATGATTATTATCAGTATTTTGAAAGTTAGAAGTTACTATATATTAAGCTCGATGAATTTGTAACTGTCTTTATGTTGAAAATAAAAAGGAATTTTTCAGTTTGTTCAAACTGCCCATTCCTGCAGCATCCTAAATTAGATCAACAGAATGTTTGGATTATTATTAAAATTGTTCACAACTGGTTATTTTAAAATAGTAGTTTCTCCATTGTAAAGCAATTATACTCCAATAAAGATGTAAAAAAAAAAGCTAGAAAGAAGTTACAGATATTTTCAGTAAATATTTCTGGTCTGTAAGTGTTTGCAGCCAAGGTTATTTAAAGATAATAAAGACTTATGAATATGGAAAAAAAATACTAGTTTCTCATTAATAAAGTTAGCTTGAAATTCAGAATTCTAAAATTTGATTAGGAAGTGAAATTCTACATATTACATCAAGGCATGATGCCAAAAGATTCATTTGAGACTTGGCTTTTGCTGTTGTCATCTATTTTAATTCAATTGAACCGCTGTCCTGTTCATATAAACACACATTTAATCTTATAAGGAATTAGGATGATATTTTAGATTTAGGCATAGACTTTAGAAATAATAGTGGATAAATGAAAACATACTTAGCCAAATATCTTTTTGCAGTTTTTGAAAACATTTATGGGGAACTTTATTAAAGATCTACTATAGAAATTAAGCTTCACAATCTAATACCCTACTGTTTCATAACTGAGCATGTGTTTTATACTCATCTGGAATTCTTGTTCCAGACTTTCAAAGTGTTCAGGAATCAGAGAGCAAGATGAAGAGCCTTATCCAACAGACTGAGTCTTTGCAAAACAAAGAGGAAAACTTTCTTCAGGTCCTAAAAGCTCTTGAGCAAAATAAAGGTAATGTTAGAGCTAGAACAAACTATCTTTAGATAGTTTAGAATGCTAGATTGTTTTCCTTGTTGCAGCCATAAAATGGTTGGTTGCATAATGCAATGGGAGCTAATAGAGCAGCATGGTGGTTTTGATGGTTTCTTGCCTCTTAGTTCTTCATGGATATTCTGAAACTGAGTGTCTCACATTTACCAAATATAGCCTCTTGTATTAATTAATTCATTCATTCATTCAGTTAATCATTCACATTTATTCAGTGCATACCAGATGCCAGCCACTTGGCTGGTGATCAAGGATAAATACAATATGAACCCTGCCCTTGGGAGGCTTAGAGAAAATATATAGACCAAAAATAAACCAAAGTTTCAAGGTGTGCAGTAGATGTGCAAGATGTTCAGGGAGCATGAAAATGGAAGAACTCAAATATCTGAAAAGCAGTGGTGTTTTCATAGTTTCTGAGTGCCTCCTAAGGAGAGGCACTTACAATAATAATCATAAAGCTGCTTTTATGCTAATTAAATTATGATATAAAAATAGTCTATGTTGTGATAAATAAATATTTTACAAAGGTCTTGCATTAAAATGTTAGGGTTTTTTTTTCCCTTGAGGTATTGAACCTATAGTGAAAAATTCAATGAACCGTCTGAAAGTCCATTAGTGATTCGTTATGTTAAAAGACTGGTTTCTGTTTTTTTTTTTACTGAGATATGATTGATGTATAACCTTGTGTAATTTGGAGGGGTACAACATGTGTGTTTGATACATTTATATATTGCAATATGATTACTACAATAGTGTTAGCGAACGCCTTTATCATGTTACGTAGCTATCATTTCCTTTTTGTGTTGACAATTACGTTTTAATCTCTTAGCAACCTTGTGCTTACAGTCCAGTAGTGCTGACTGTAGTAACTAAGTTGTGCATTTTAAAAGGATGGTCTCTAAGCAGCTGATTACTTCAGCCAGAGATGAAGCTAATGAAGTAGGGAAGGGAATTGGACTAAAATTATCTGTACGTTTTGCCACTTGATCATTATTATTATTATGACTCTTGCACAGTAAAAAATCAGATGAAATGTGTATTCCTATCTAATGTTAAGTCTTGTTGTCTTATATAGAAATCTTACAGCAGCTTCAAAAACAGAATGAGTATATCACTGAGGCTCTACAAGAACTAAATGTGGAACAAGGTAATTTGGAAGTGAGAAAATTCCGAGTACATAGTAATTTTTAATAACAGTCTCATTCTTTGAAGTGGGAGAACGTGTGAAGACATGAGGCCTTGTTTGTGAGGTTCTGTGGGCTCTGAGTTGTAAATGTTTTCTTTCCTAGGAGACAGGTGTGGACCTTCTCTGAGTCACTGGGTACAATACAGAGACCACTGCTACCACCAAACCGTGCAAATTGTTTCTTGGTTAGAGTGTTCGGATCTTTGCATCTCTTTGAATGCTACATTTTTAAAGACAGAAAGGAGTAGATTGATGGTGAGATTGTAGTTCATTCTTTACTTCTGGGATAAATGTATAGTAGCCACCAGGAGAAGGAAGGGCTCACCTGCATCTCTGAAACCAGGGTAAGGGGCACTCTCCTGCTTCGTTTTCCACTCATCTTTCCCTGGCCTGCTCCACATCAACACACCTTTCTTTCCTAACACACCATGCATGCATTCACTGCAGAAACACTGCGTTTGCATGCAGAATTCTTCTCTCAGATGCAACCACGGCGAACTACTTCATGTCCTTCAACTATTTATTCAGTTGTCACCTTCTTAATGAGACCTGCCCCGGCAACCTTACTTAAAATTGCAACCTGTGTCGGGCTTCCCTGGTGGCGCAGTGGTTGAGAGTCCGCCTGCCGATGCAGGGGACATGGGTTCGTGCCCCGGTCCGGGAAGATCCCACATGCCGCGAAGCGGCTAGACCCGTGAGCCATGGCCGCTGAGCCTGCGCGTCTGGAGCCTGTGCTCCGCAACGGGAGAGGCCACAACAGTGAGAGGCCCATGTACTAAAAAAAAAAAAAAAAAAATTGCAACCTGTGTACCAGTGCCCACCCCACCGCCAGACCCTCATCTGTGCTTTTAGGCATTCTTACCCTGCTTTAACTTTTTATAGCACTTGTCACCTTCTTATGTATCATATCATTTACACCTATGTTTTTTACTTCTATCTGGCCCACATTCCCCAGAAGTAGGGATCTTTCTCATTTTTGTTCAATGATATATCTCAAGCTCTAAGAATAGGCACAACATTAAATAAATGATAAAATAAGAAAGTAATTCATATCTTGGTGTGGTGTCTTCTTAAATATAAAATTTTCTATTATAATCATCGCTTACTATTCAGTTCAGAAAAAATAATATTTACCTAGTAAAAGTATGGTAAATTTTATCTAGTAAAAACTGTGAAATAACTATGTCAAAAGGATACAGGAAGTGAGAAGATAGGGCATGAGACTAAAAATTCTGCCTTCATAAAATAGGAAGTCATAGAACTAATAAAGAGTTAGGAACAGTTAATTGCCTCTGGAGAATGGCATTCATTGAGGGAGGAAATGACTACTATTTTGTATATATCAATATTTAGCATCATTTGACTTCTAAAACCAAGTGCATGCATTTGTGTGATAGATTTAAAAAATATATGTAAGTGTAAAATATCGGATGAAATTACAATACAGTTAATGCTGTGCCCTTTCTTTTTACAACTTAAATATTTCTAAAATACACTGGGGAAATAAAAACCTTTATCATTACTGGAACTAAGCTAAAAAAATAAAATAAAATTTTCTATTAGCTCTGTCTTTTTTTTTCTTCTTCTTCTTGGTGTTTAATTCCTGGTTTAAGAAATGCACAGATGCTGAAGAACTGAAATATTTTTTAATGTTTTATTTATCAGTGGGCATATATAGACTGCATTATTTTTATGATTCTTTAGACACAAGTTCTATATTTTTATCTCTAACGCACTCTTAGTATTAACACCTTTGTGTATTTTGGTTCCATATAGTACATCATGAAGTTACTTGCAGCAAATCACACTTGGCTTGGCCTGTCTTATAATGAAGAGGACAATCAATGGAAGTGGGAGGATGGCTCCCTTCCTTCTCCTGGCCTGTAAGTTTCTGGTATAAAATCCAATTCCTTACTCCTTTTTCAATGTCTTTGGCCTAAAGAGCTTGAGGAAATAGAGAAGATCCTTTGGCCTAAAGAGCTTGAGGAAATAGAGAAGATCATTTCTCTTCTCGAAGAGGGATTGAATTTAGACTTCTTTATTTCTTGTTTTTATTTCATACTATACTGTCAGCAATTTTGTAAATCATAAAGTCACTTAGATATTTCATAATTAGCGTAAATATACCCTTATTATTAGATGAGCTGAATGATTACAATTTCAGATAAGAAATATAATGTGGGGAAGAATATCGTTAGTATGAATATGGGGACCTCTCTGGTATTTTTATTGGGAAGAAGTATATATAAAATTGTCTTTCCTCAGCCAAATAATTTGGGATTTTTTTTTGGTTTTAAGTACTTATTTTTCTATTGTTATTCAGAAACATTGCATTAGACAGCTATGGCAGAAAAAATATTTTCAAGCTGTTTCATCACTGTGTGCCAATCTTAGATAATATTTCAAAGTTTGATAATTTTGATAGCTGATTATTTTTATTTTGTTCCTTTAGGTTATATTATTATTATGTTTAGTGAGGCTGTTTTTCTTATAACTTATAATAATACTTTTGACCATTTTATAATATTTACCTTTTATTTCTTGGTATGATTCCTTATATATTAAGTTTGTGACTTCTCTTGCACACATATCTTACCAGTGTTTTCCTTTAATAATTTGTCCTTTTAAGTTTATTTGCTTTTATTATATGAACAAGTGGTTAACACTGAAGTATAATGAGATTGTCTTTGTTCATTTGAAATTTATTTTAAGACATAAGGTAGAAAGCTGAAACATGTACATGTATGTTTAAATGTAGATATAATTGTATGTCTCTCTATGTGTATTTCAATTAAGTAATCAATTGTCAGTATTGTTTAAATGATTCATTTTACTTTCATCACTGATTTTAATGTCATTTATCATATGCTAAAATTTAATATTTAAATAATTTTAGCCTTTTTACATGTCCCTTAAGTATTTCATAGTTTGTATAAATATTTTATGTGTAAATATTCTTGAATATTTTCCCAGCCTTGCCTGCACTATTGCATCAAATTGTTAGTCTATTCTAACTTTATTGTTGATCATTTTAATTACTGGAATTTTGTAACTTGAAAGTTTTCCTCTGCTTCAAACCTTGTACAATGTTTGGAACATAGAACATTCAATAGGTATGTTGAATTAATGAATGAAATAACATATGAAATATTTTGGCGATTTAATATGCCCAACACAGTTCAGAATTTTTTTTCTAGCTCCTTTGGCATTTTTAAAAGAAATGTACTATGCATTTAATAAATCACGAAATAAGCTTTGCCTTTTTTTTTTTTAGATAGTACTGAACAACCAGCTTTGCTCTAGAGTTGATGAAAAATAGTCTTGTTAACATGGATCTAAAATGCTCTTTATAATCTAGACCTTTAGTAAAGGACTAAATTCAATCAGCATATTTGATAACATCTGCCCTCTGGCATTTATATCAGTGGTAAATTAAAGTAAAATGTGAATTAAAGTAAAATGAACATTATCAGAGCAGAGGCAAGTGTCCTGAAATATTACACATACAGTTAACCCATGAATAATGCAAGGGTGTTAGGGGCACTAACTCCTCCATGTAGTGGAAAATCTGCTTAGAACTTACAGTCTACCCTTCTATAGGCAGTTCCAAAACTACATGTTAAACCAACCACAGTTAAACCAACCTGTAGTACTGTAGTATTTACCATTGAAAAAATCCGCATATAGGTAGAACTGCGTAGTTCAAATCCAGGTTATTTAAGGATAAACACACACACACACTCACTCACACACACATATACACATATATTCTAAATTTCATTACTAATTTTGGCTAGCTTTTATATCTAATGTATTTATAAGTAAATATCCCTCCTCCAATGGTAGCTGTACATGCATGTGGTTTCTATCATGCTAATCTGTACTTAAACTTAATTATGTACCCCAGATCATATGTCCTGTCTTTCCTGCTATTGCCATAATTTTCCAGCTGGACCATTCTCTTCTTCTCTATACAGGTGTACCTTTTCCCACTTATAAATACTCATAAATAACTATCACATTTTGTGAAGCTTATTTATGACTTAATGTCTATCTCTTTTTGTATATATACATGTATGAGTTCTTTGCAAAGAGGGAGAGTGCCTTTACTCCCTTGAGTTCCCTACAGCGCCAGGTATAATCGGTTTCACATAATGTGTTCTTAAGTAATGCTACTTAATTTGAACACAGTGAGTGGCCAGTGACTTGTGTTTTCTAAATTTCTCAGGAGTCTACCAAAGCCAAGTACGGATTTCCAGGGGAATTGTGTGTATGCAAATGTGAACACTGTTGGCATGGATACCTGCACTATGTCCTCTTCGTGTGTGTGTGAGAAGCCTGTCTGTGCTAAACACTCAGAAGAAAGTTAAAAAAAAACTGATGAGGTTTGCACATCTCAATAACATTCCATATTCAAGACCTGCCTGCCTTTCTTCTATTGGCACTTCATGTTATTCATAACTCTTTTTTTTTGTGACAGAAACTGATAAATGACTTCATGATAGAAGAAGCCAGAGTCTAGAGTTAAAGGAGAAAAAACAGAGAAGCACAGAAAACTTAGAAACTCAGAACCTGTTTGATTTTCTGAGAATTATATAAATGAATTAAAAAACATATCATTTGTCATAAATACTTAATCTTTGGGAGTCTTTTTTTTATATTTCAAAATCTACTTACTCATTTACAATTGTGACCTGTGGAAATAAGCGTTTAGAACAAATACAGTGGGAAATATAAATGATAAATGGTTTACCACATAATATACAAAGAATGTAAAAAATGCAAAGAAATATCAATAACAAAAAGCAGAAATTTAAAAAAATTAATTAAAACAAATTGACGTAGTCATCTATTTTTCAAGTTGCTTGCAGAAGTCTTCCTAGCAGATTTTCAATATATCAATTTCACTCACATCTTTAATTTCTTTTCTCCCTTTTCTTTCTGGTTGAAAGTGATGTGTTTTAAAAGTAATTTGTCTTAATTAATGTTCCATTATAGAACCAAAGAATTATACTTTACAAACTTGAAATTTCTGTACATAGGAATAAGATTTATCAGAGATTAATATATTTAAAAAGCTACTTATTCTACTGAATATTTGTATTTAATTCTGTGTTTAATATTTAGCTCTTTGTTTTGCTTTCTATTTTTAGAAAATAGATTTGTCAAAATTCCTTTAACCTAAAGTAAGTGAGGGTCATTTAAAAAAATTTTTATTAGCGTATAGTTGATTTACAATGCTGTGTTAGTTTCAGGTGTACAGTAAAGTGAATCAGTTATACATATACATATATCCACTCTTATTTTTTTTTTTTTTGATTCTTTACCCATATAGGCCATTACAGAGTACTGAGTAGTTTTCACTTTGCTATACAGCAGGTTCTTATTAGTTATCTATTTTATATATAGTAGTGTGTATATGTCAATCCCAATCTCCCAATTTATTCCTCCTCCAACCCCCGCCTTGTCCCCTAGTAACCATAAGTTTGTTTTCTACATCCATGACTCTACTTCTGTTTTGTAAATAAGTTCATTTGTACCCTTTCTTTTTTAGATTCCGCATATAAGTGATATCATATGATACTGTTTTTCTTCACTCAGTATGACAATTGCTAGGTCCATCCATGTTGCTGCAAATGGCATTATTTTGTTCTTTTTATGGCTGAGTAATATTCCATTGTATATATGTACCACATATATATATATGTACCACATCTTCTTTATCCATTCATCTGTTGATGGACATTTAGGTTGCTTCCATGTCCTGACTATTGTAAATAGTGCTAAAATGAACACTGGGGTGCATATATCTTTTTGAATTATGGTTTTCTCCAGGTATATGCCCAGGAGTGGGATTGCTGGGTCATATGGTAGCCTTATTTTTAGTATTTTTAAGGAACCTCCATACTGTTCGCCATACTGGCTGTATCAATTTGTACGTTGTAGTGGCTGTACATTCCCACCAACAGTGTAGGAGGGTTCCTTTTTCTCCATACCCTCTCCAGCATTTATTGTTTGTAGGTTTTTTGATGATGGCCATTCTGACTGGTGTGAAGTGATAGGTCACTGTAGTTTTGTTTTGCATTTCTCTAGTAATTAGTGATGTTGAGCATATTTTCATGTGCCTCTTGGCCATATGTATGTCTTCTTTGGAGAAATGTCTATTTAGATGTTCTGCCCATTTTTTGATCGGGTTGTTTGTTTCTTTTTACATTGAGTTGCTGAGCTGTTTGCATATTTTGGAGATTAATCCCTTGCCAGTCACTTCGTTTGCAAATATTTTCTCCCATTCTGTGGGTTTTCTTTTCTTTTTGTTGATGGTTTCCTTTGCTGTGCAAAAGCTTTGAAGTTTAACTAGGTCCCATTTATTTATTTTTGTTTTTATTTTCATTACTCTAGGAGCGGGATCAAAAAAGATCTTGCTGCGATTTATCAAAGAGTATTGTGCCTATGTTTTGTCTAAGAGTTTCATAGTGTCTGGCCTTACATTTAGGTCTTTAATCCATTTTGAGTTTGTTTTTTTGTATGGGGTTAGGGAGTATTCTAATTTCATTCTTTTACATGTAGCTGTCCAGTTTTCCCAGCACCACTTGTTGAAGAGAGGGTCTTTTCTCTATTGTATATTCTGACCTCCTTTGTCATAGATTAGATGACCGTAGGTGCTCGGCTTTATCTCTGGGCTTTCTGTCTTATTCCATTGATCTATATTTCTATTTTTGTGACAGTACCATACTGTCTTGACTGATGTACAAAATCAACTACAGATTCACTGAGAACGAAAGAGGAAATATAAGACTAAATTCCTGAAAGTTTTGGCTGGCAAAGTTTTTTTAAAGTATGTAGTTTAAAATCTAGCTAAATTCTACAAAAAGTCTTACCCAAG